CCCCCCCCTCTCATTTCTTTCCCACCCCCACACAGTCCCAGGATGAATTAAATACATATTAAGTCCTGAGACGATCTGTGCTGCAGCGAGTTCATCCTGGGTTTCTGATGGAAACGTGACCACCAGGAGGCGTCGGCGCTTCAGTCACGCTCTGTTACCGTCTTTGTGTCAAACCTTATTTTGAATTGTTTGGTTGAAGCCGTACAATTTATTAGAGAGATTTTTTTTTTTGTAAAAATGAGACAAAAACAAACCAAGTGCAGTACACCTCCGTGTCCAGCAGTGGCTCCACTGACTGACGCTTCTGCAACTAATGTGACATGATGAATCTGTCCTGGACCAGCAGCAGCAGCATTTGAACGTGGCCCANTACAGTCATGAACAGTCAGAGAGGACGACAGGCAGACACAGAGTCAGTCAGAGATGAGAGACTTTCTCCCTGGTCTGACCTCGTCAGCCGACGGCAGCTGTGTCTCAGTGAGGTCAGAACGGTGGAAGCCCAGGATTCGTCATGTCTGCCCGTGTGTGTGTGTGTGTGTGTGTGTGTGTGTGTGTGTGTGTGTGTGTGTGTGTGGGTGTGTGGGTGTGTGTAGTGGCAGATGTGTGTATGTATGGGTGTGTGTATTTTCCTTCTTACCGTCCAACTGAGTCCTAGCAGTGAGACCTGGTCGAACGTGTAAGAAGTCTGTAGACGGTAGTAGTACTGAAGTACTGGAGGATTTTAGTTGTTCATAAAATAAAAAAAAACACGGGAAAAACGAAGAGATAAAAACTGAGGACGAGTTCTTCTGTTAGTGAAGACCGTCCAGTCTGAGTCACGAAGGCTTCGTTAAGACGTTTGAAAGTATTTATACGAAGTCTGTGCTGAGTTGGATATTTAAAAGTACTAGTTTTGGAGAGTCCCACCAGTCAGACCTGGTCGTTGGATATTTAAAAGTACTAGTAGTTTTGGAAGTAGTAGAAAAAATACAGATCTGTTAAAGACATTTGGACCGTAGTTCATTTGCTTCAACCACAGGGGGTGCAGTTTCACACAAAACCAGACCTCCGTTCCATCTGGGTCCAATATGTTCGTGATTGATTGAGATGACCCACATTTCTTAAATATGACGAAAAAAAGATTTTTTGTACTTGTGTTTTGGATCAGAAAGACAAAGAACAGCAGGTAGATGGCGCTGTTTCTCACCTGTAGTGACTAATCCAAACTGTTTTGTCACCCCTTCCTCACCCTCCTCCTCCTTCTAACCTTTGGAGCCGATCAGACAGTGAATCACTCTTGTCTTTTTGCCCACCTGGGTTTACCTCAATTAACCGCAGGAGCAGCCAGGTAGTTCTTCAGGGTGACTCAGAGGCTGGAGCGGCGCCTCCTACTGACATGTAATGAAGTTGAGGACGGAGACATGTCTCTGGTCTCAGTGCACGGAGACAGACAGTATTTTAACTCGATTGGTTTAAATGACCAGGTTAACATCGATAACCAATCAGATCAGTTAACACAGTGTCTGAACGACGTCACAGTAAACGCACCATCGCTCCGGTGCTCAGTGTTATTTACACACACTGTGGGGAAGCGTTAAAACGTCAACACGTGAACAGTAGCCACGAAAACCCACCAACTCAGATGAAGATACGTTTGATTTACAAAAATATCTTTTCTCCAGTTTTCTCTAACTTCATTAACTTAAATTAATCGTTCACTCTGAAGTTTCTGAAGTGGTGTGAATGTGAGTGTGAATGGACGTTTGGACGTAGCGTAAAGATCACGGGGATTATGTTGTTGTTTTGTCGCCGTCTGACATCTGTCTGAGAACTTTCTGACTGACGTACAGACGTCTGTGGTCACTTTCTAAGTCAGACGTTAAGATAAATAAATAAATAAATAAATAAATATCAACTCCCCCGTGTTCCTCCGTGACGGTTCAGATGGTTTGCAGAAGCCCCGGGGCGGGGCGGGGCAGGGCAGGGCGGGGTGTGTTCTGTGGTCGTGGGGTAATTACACAAGTCCACTGATGCTCCTAAAATATCTGCCCCGTCCCTGTCACCCCAGGCTGGGCTGGATTACTAATCTAGGTAATCCAACCTGGGTTATCACTGTAATGTACCGTAACTAAACAGTCCCAGCACCGGGCCTGTGGTACTGTTGGTACCAGACGGTCCAACTCTGAAGGAACAGTTGATGGAACCGATCGTACGTCGAGTTAAAGACGAGTCCAGATGGGACCGTGTGTATATGAACACATGTACGTGTGTGTGTGTGTGTGTGTGAGCGTCACTCATGTGGTTTGGACGTTGGAGCCGTCCCACAATCTGACGACCACATGTGTGGACATGTTCATCTTTGTTCGTACAGAGTCGAAGAGTTTTATTTTATTTATTGATTTATTTTGATGTATTCCTGTAAGGAGAGTTAGCGCCACCTACAACAGAGGCGTTAAATTCATATGGAGTTCTAGTTCTTTTCTTTTCCACCGTCTCCCAGCAGCAGGTCCTCGGGTGTTGGTGTGTTTTGGTCAGTCTGGGCTGCTGGACTGGTTGGAATCAAACCCCAAACCTTCTAAATGAAGAAGATAGAAAGAAAAAAAAAATCACATGGGACCTTTTGACCTTTGACCCCCTAGTGTTTTTTTAATCTGCTGCCGATTCTTTATCCCCCTAACGGTCACATCACTGATGGAGTTGATGGTTTGTTTGTTTGTTTGTTGGTTCGTTTGTTTGGTTTTTTTTTGTTCTCGTTCCACTCGCGCTCGTTTTTTTTCTTTGTTCTCGTTCCACTCGCGCTCGTTGCCTTTTCGTCTCAGACGTGAAGGTTCTGCAGGTTCTGAGCAGAGGTTTGACCTTTGACCTCCTGCTGGGACTGAGAGGTTTATTTATCCACTTCTCTAAACATCCGTTGTAAAATTGCTGTGTGTTTATGTTTGCACGTGTGTGTGTGTGTGTGTGTGTGTGTGTGTGTGTGTGTGTGTGTACCCGTGCACGTAACTGGGAGTAACTCGGTGTTGTACTGCGTCTTATCGTGACAGAGTACTTTAAGATAAAAAAAAAAACAGTGAAAGTTGGCGTCCGTTGATCCGTCGTTGACGTTGATGAGTTTCAGTCCTCGTCCTTTTGTTCCTCTGCTGCTGCAGGTTCTAATCCCCGTCTCCTTCGACCCTCGACCCTCCGTCCCTGAGACTGTGTTTCAGGGAAAATCTTCAGGATGATGTCAGCAATCCTCGCGCACACACACACACATCGGTATAATGAGAAAAAGGTGCAGCACAGAGCCTTTCAGCACCGCTGGACTACAGGCTC